GGCCTCAGTTTGAGATTTTCCCGTAACGACCTCACTCTCGGTTATTAAGTAGTTATTATTTAATCTACAGTATCTTGAAATAATGTACATTTTAATATAAATACACTCTAAATGATATGTATCTAGAGGTTTAGTACATGTACCTTATTGATCTGACGTTGTTGTGCAGACATCCTTTTAACTGCCTTCTTAGCCATACTTTCTTCTTTCTTCTTAGTGTATTCATCACTGACATCAGCAAATGGGTTCTGAGTTTCATCGTAGCCAGAGTCCATGTCATACCAGGCCCGATCAAGTCTCTGTGACAAATAGAACAACACTCCTTAATAAGCATACCCCAATGGAGAAATCCAACCTTGAGCTCTACTGTTCATACATGTAATAACAAATTTTGCACAAGTTTATCAACTGTTAGAGCAATGAAAATTCCAGAATACCTTCTGCTCTTCCTCCCACTCTTCCTTGTCAACATCTGAGGGAAAACCCGATTCACTGTCATCCTTGGAACCTGTTAAAAGTAACACATGTTAGTTGAATGATGCTGTATATAACTATCAAAAACAAACTACATTGTTCAGCTGAGTTGTAAAAGAAAATAAAAGGACAGCCCTGTTAATTATGAACAATATATATACATGACTCCATTACATTCTGCCAGTATTCTTTTTCCTCTGGGCAAGCTGTAACTATGATGTACAGTACTAGACCAAAAGTCATTTGCCCTATGGTAACCCCACCCATTCCCCCCCCCCCCCCCCTNACCCCATTGGGCAACTGAAGGACAGAATACACCAAGTCTGACTGCAAAATCCACTAACCCTGGGCTATGCACACTAATATAACAGTTTTCTCAGTTGGCAGGAGAGGGAGGTACACCGACAGTCCTGGCCTCATGGTTAGTGTGCTCGTCTCCAAATCGAGTGGCCCAGATTCAAGCCCTGGCCAGGGACATTGCGTTGTATTCTTGGGTAAGACACTTTCCTTTCACAGTGCCTCTCTCCACCCAGGTGTGTAAATAGGTAGCGGCAAACTTAATGCTGGGGGTAACCCTGCCATGGACTAGCATCCCATCCAAGTGGGAGTAAAAATACTCCTAGATGCTTCATACTACAGAAACAGGGATAAGCTCCAGCCTAATATGCCACTTGGTTCTCATGCAGACTTTATTTTACATGAGTTGTTTTAATTAGCATGTGATGACTAAAATGTAAATGAAGCAACCCAGAATGAAGCATGTTGTGAGTGTGCTGTCACCTTTATCCCTGTTTTCCAGTGGAGGGTCACATTTAATATTAATATCTTACTACGATTATCAGTTGAGTATAAGGCAGGACAAATGTTTGGTGACCAGGTTTTAATGTTCAACTTGTGTTGTTGTCATGGGCAACTGGCTCCATTTCCAGTGGAGCCTTGTCAGCTTTTGATGTCATTAAGACAGCAAAGCGCACAAAATTGCAGGCGATGATATTGTTACCAAAGGAAACAAGGAAAGTTACCCAAGGCAACACCGCAATTTTAAGCCCAAAACTTTGTCACCAAAGCTCAGTCACACCTTACTCAACTGATAATCATGGTAATGTACATGTACATGAACAAAGCTTCATACATGTATATGGCACATGCACACGTGTACACAATATATATTTACTACCATGCACTGGAAGAGGTTATTATAATCATGATCTCACGTTTTCCTTTAGAGAATCTTGGTGTGGCTCCTGTGCTTCGGCGATCATCTTCCCAGACATTGTATTTATGTGTTGGAGTAAAATGAGGAGTGTCATCAACTCGGCGATGGGATCTGATGAACATAGTGCTTGCTCAACTACTGTATAAATTGTAACTGTATATTAAATATTTGGGTAGAGATTGCTAAGTGCTAGATCTATCTTTAATTGTTCCCATTTTCGTCATCTTTACACCCCGTTATGGTGCAAATGTGCTCTTGAAGTTTAGAAAAGGCCCGGTTTCATGCTCTTTAAACTTTCTGTATGCATCATACATGCAGCTTAATAATGCACGACAAACGATGAAACAAGAGTTAATGATTAATCAGCATTAGTGCATATATAATCATTATACTGTAGCATCAGTGTTTTGCGTGGTTCGGCTTGGCACTGCTCCCAGCAGTGTGTGGGAATTACATGTATTATTGTTACCGAGAGTAACTATTGTTACCGACCTTAATAATGAATTTAAAGTGCTTTGTGAATTTCATCCATTTGTACTTGAATTTTAATGATTTATATGTTTATATAAATATTTACCTTCGTTCACTTCTCATGTCTTCACTAATTGATCTGCTAGGAGATGGCATTTCCCATTTAGATCTACTTGGTGTCGAATCTTCATCATCCCAACTACTCCGTGAAGGAGTTCTAATATCTGAGACAAAAATGTCATTTATAAATAAGTGTGTGTACATGTATGTCACATAAATAAATCCTGTAAATTCAATGCTGGCAGGGGAGAAGAGGAGAGGAGGACATGGGCTGACCTGGGTAACATTGGGTATAGACATGTAGCAGTTGTCTTTGATGACCTTTGATATTCATGACAGCTTCTTGCGAGTAAACAAACATCTATATTCCATACTAAACTTCAGTGATTCTTAAGAGGAACGAGACCTGTCTTGAGAGAAAAGAGATCCGTCTCACGAGAAACAAGACAAGAAGTGGTAACTTAAATTTGAATGGTACTGTACTTTGCTTTAACTTTAACTTTTGGCAAAGCATTTGCAGCATGAGTAAACAGATACCTCTCTTTGCACACCCCATTCCTTTCTCCACTGAAAACATACCTGCCCAACCCCTAAAATTTCCTCCCCAAGACCTTAACCCATTTAATATTGGCAAAAATACTTAAGGCCCAATGAGCCAAAAGCATTTTGGGCCCCCACTTTATTTTAATTAAGGCCCAAGAGGCTGGAAAACAATTTCAGGGCCTCTACAATATAAAGAAATCTGGAACTGTCACTGATATTTGTCACTCCAATTTGCAGGGGAAAACTGAGCAAGAACGGACTGATGTTTGTTTACAAGGCCAGAGTTGTTGCAATGTTTGGAATATCAGCATACTGGTCAATTACCTTTCGACTTGTACCTTGGTGTGTAACCCTCGTCTCTCACTGATCTACTACTTCTGTATGGTGTCTCTTCCCATTCACTTCGGCTTGTTCGTGGTTCCTTAAAATAATTACCCTTGTCATCTTTATCATACATGTAGTCTCGAGATCTACGACTACTTCGCTCTCCTTTGTCATACCTCTTTTTGTCAAGGTCATCATATCTGTCCCTTCTATCTCTATACCCCTCTCTATCACTTCTCGATCCCTTCTCGTCTTTGTCTTTTGTCCTAGACTGAGCATACACGCCACCCCTTCTGGTTTCTCGATCCCGCTCAAGTCTCAGAAGTTGCTTTTCTCTTATTTCTTCATTAACACCTCCAGTATGCGAAGGAGTTTCCACTAATCCAGTCCTGTAATGACGTGATTTCGATTTACTCCCCGAACTTAGTCTCGCCTCTCCTTGAAGTTCCATATCTCTACGGTCTGCTTCCCAATTTGCTTCACGATTTGAGGAAAGAGCTTTCACCTTTTTCGTTCCCTCGTCATCTTCCTCAAGCTTTCGCTTCCTTTTCTCTTCCGCGAGTTTCTTCAGTCCTAACACGCTTTCCTTGGGGGATGAAGTCGTTTTCTTGTTGCTTCCTTTTAGTATCAAACCTCCAACAACAGAGTGAACATGTGAACCTTCAAGCCTGTCTGAGGAAGAATCGTCAAATCCGATGTCTGCCATGACGATGGAAATGCAAGCAACTTTATCGAACAGTTATCAGGTTCTTCTAAAGCATGAAAATACCAAATAATGTGATAATCTAGCCTCAATAGGGAAAGGGTTTGATACAAAGCTACAACGTCAAATTTTGCCATCCATCCGCCATTTTACTTGTCCGCTCATTTCCAGATCTCTTGCCGATATTTTGTGACAAAAGAGCTGGGAACAGCAGACAAAGATTCCGTGACAAGGACGTGACAAGCGGAAAGACTTCCCCGTACTCTACGAAATGTGCAGATAAACATGTAGCTTACTATTTCCTTTCACGAAATGGCGTCTGCGCAGGACGAAGGTTGCTTGAGTCATTACAGAAAATTGCTGATCGAATTATCATTAGATCTTTCCAGCAAAGACTTAGAGATGCTAACATATGCTGCTGTAGATTTCATTCCTCGCGGACGAATCGAAAACATTCGTACAGGATTACAGTTCTTTGACGTTCTCGAACAAGACATCAGAATTGGTCCGCGAAATATGTCCCTTCTACAGGATATGTTTCAAACGATTGGTAGAGTAGATCTGGCACGAAGAATACAGTCTTATTTAACAGGATCGGTCAAAGTTGAGAGTGATGGTAAGAATATTTGCGACATTTGAATGTTATCGGACAAATTTGAACACTTCGATAGATTACGGGGATGGTAAAGCGTAGTTTGAATTGGAGGGGCTTACAAGCGAGCGCCAGAGGCGCTAACTTGTAGGGGGTCTGTAGTATTAACTATACTTTTTGACAGTGAACTCTTAACACTGAAGTTAGTTAATATATTATTTACACCATGTGAAAATAAATCAAACATTCTACTGATAAATTTTGTATTCTCGTCCCCAGAGCCCACGATCCTTCTGGCCTGCAGGGATCGAGAGCTCTCGATCCCTGCCGCAGGCCAGAAGGATCGTGGGCTCTAGGGACGAGAATGATTTAAATGGCGTTCAATTTAATAACCAATCGTAGCAATTTTATTTCCCAGTCGAAAAATATGAGATTTTACTGTCACGCCAGTAAAATATAGTTAAGGGAGCGTGACGTACGTTCTCCGTTCATGGCGGCATCGCTAGCTACAGCAGTTGTGTTCCAAAGGTCAGCAAACTGTAAGCTTCATCGTAGCGAGACCTAAAACAATGTAGCTTTGTTACCTTCAGAGCGTTGGAACGAACCATAGCATTGGTGCAAAGCATTAACGCACTATTGCTGGTTTTCAGTGTCACGCAATTCAAAATAGATCAAAATAAAAATCAAAACCGGTCAATAGATAAAGTCCAGAATCTGGGAAAAGAAAGAA